TGCTGGCCCTGCCCACCTGCCTCACGCTGCTGGTGGCCTTCGCCCTCCTCTTCCTCACCTTCAAGCAAAAGCTGCTGAAAATGGTGAAAAGCCAGTGCGGGGGGTCGGGAGCGTACTGATGGCTGAAGGAGGAGGAAGGGCTCGGGAGAGGGTTGGGGGAGGTTGGGGGCAGTCGCCCCCTCCGAGGCCGGGGGAGATGGAGAGGTGGTGGGTGGGGGATGAGAGAGCTGCTGTGGATGTCCCATGGGTACCCGAAGGGTGCAGGTGGTGTCTGGTGATGGAGCCCGGGGCTGTGCTGGGCATCCTCAAGGGATGTGTCTTCAGCAGAAACCTTCTGCTGGTGTTGGAGAGAGCCGAGCAGATGTGACACCAAACACCTCTTGGCCAAAGGCCCAAACACAGTTTTCCCCAGCACTGTTTCTCCCCCTTTTCAGGCAGTTCCTTTTATTTATTCACCCTTGCAGCCAACTCTCTGCTGCAAAACATCCTCTGGGTCTGCAGCTAACGTCCCCGGGCTGGAACAAACATCACCTGGGCACTGTGGAGAAGGGTCTCTATGAACACAGCTTCTCAGGGTGCTCTTGCTGGCACTGCCAAACTCCCAGGCAGCCCTGGACACACCTCTGTGTGTTTGCTGAGAGAACAGGCATGGTCAGCAGGGCTGATTTTGGGGTGTTATTGCTTGGTGAAGTCACGATCCTGGTTAGAAAAGCCCATTAAAAGTAGCCCAGGCTGCAGGGATGTGAAATGTTGATTGAAAGACAGGAGAATAAATTATATCACTGGTAAAATTTTATCATCCATTTCTTTCTCTTCAGCAACTGCTGGATGGAACAGGTGCAAGGGAGATAAAATAGAAAAAAACTAGATAAAAGAGAAACCCAGGCTTCTCGTGGGGTTTCCTGGGGCCAGCCCCTGTCACAGCACATCAGGCTGCCCCATCCCAGCAGCGTGCCACCTGGGGAAGTGCCACTTTGTTCCTCAGAGGGTTGCTGTGGGTGGAAATGAGAAGTGGTGGCGGTTTGTGATAACTCCAAAGCCCTGCTGAGAACTGGAGCAGCTTTGTTCCCGTAGCACTGTCAGGATTTTTCTGGTGAAACGTGTGTGGGGAAGCGGGCAGCAGTGCTGGTGTGGCCACACCAGGGGCTTGTCCTCTCCAACATCCTCTCTGACACACGGGTGGGGACAGGGTTGGGGTCACTGGTGAGCCTTCTATGGCTCATTGCCAATGCCAGCATGGAAAAACCAGCATAGGTTGGGCTGTGCTGGACCAGCCAGTGGCACTGCTGGGGCTGAGCACTGGCAAGGCTCTGGAAAGCCACATGTCAAATCTGTCTCAGCAAATGGCTGCTTTCTGGCCCTATTTTAGCCTGAAATAGCCCAAACCAAATCCGGCTCCAGCCGGGGAATCCCTCAGCCTATTTCAGCCCTTCTTTTGCCCGTAAGCTGCGTGCCCGAGGGACGACAGGGACCTATAAATACATCTCTGTGATGTTCTCTCTCTGGTCTCCACCAGCACCAGGTCCCACAGCCACGTTTCAGGGGCTCTGCTGGCCGGGTGAGCAGGGTGCCCTGGTGAGCACCCCTCTTCCTGGGGCTGTTTGCCCCCACTGTGGGTGCCGAGCCCAGCCTCAGAGGGTGGATGTGTGTGCTTCCTCCACCACCACTTTTGCTGCTGCTTCTCCTTTTTGGGGGGGGCGTGTGGGGTGCAGCCATGGGCGTGCACGTAGCTGGGGAGCCGGGTGCCTGGCGTTGCCTGTGACAGGCATAAAAAGTGGGTGTCCTTGCTTGTGTTGAGCCAGTGTGGGGGATGCTCAACGCTCGTACGTCACGGGAGGCATTAGTGGCTTTGCCTGGCACAGGGACACTGTGCCCAGAAAGCCAAGGTTGGGATGTGGAAGGGATGTCAGGGCAGCAAGATGAGTTTCCACTTTTAAAATGGTTGATGTCCTTCCAAAGCTGCTGCTCATCATCTTGGCAAGGTCACAGTGGTCAGGGGAGGTCCTCGGTGGCTGCAGAAAGGCAAACGTTGCACCCGGCTTTGGGGATGGCCCCAAGGACATCCTGGGGAGCAACAGGGTTCTTCCCAACCCTCATGTTGGGGAACCCATGGAGTATTCTTCCTTGGAGGACATTTCTAGAAGAGAGGCTGGGAGCTGTCAGTGTGGATTGACCAAGGGTCAAGGCCTGACCAACCTGCTTGCTTCTCAGGATGAAATGGGTGGGTTTGTAGGCAAGGGGAGAGCAGTGGGTACCACTTACCTCAGCTTCAGCAAGGCTTTCAATGCCATGTCCCATGCAGATGTTCTTGCATCCAAGTGAGGAGGTAATGGTCTGGATGGGCAACCAGGAAGGTAAAAATCAGTTGAAAAATCAAGCACAGAAGGGAGCAGTTAGTGGGATGTGCTCTGTCAGGAGGCTGGTGAGAAGACACCAGGGGTCTGAGCTCAGATCTGTCCTGTGAGATGTCACTGTCTGTGATCTGGAGGAGCTGTGGAGTGCATTCCTGTCAAGGTCAGAGATTAGCCCAAGTTGAGAGGACCGGTAGATACTGGGTAGGGCTATGAGTGGGCTGGAGGAAGGGGCCAGCAGGACCCTCACGGTCTGGAGGGGTGAACACACCCTCAGTTCAGCACTTGCTAGACCTCAGCAGGTGAGGAGAGCTGTGCCTGGGGAGGGGCTTGCAGGTTACATCCTGAGCCCCACCTGGACGAAGCAGGTACAGGCTGGCCTGAAGCTGGAGCACACTGGGTCTGGAGAGGTCACTAGTCAGCTCCCACCAAATCAGGAGCTCTTTGTAAGCTGTTGTGTTGCAAGTTTTGACTGGAAGCAGCACCAGGCCTGTGGCAGAGATCTACACACCCCTTCCCTTCCTGGAAGAGCTGAGTCAGGCTTCACATTTTAAAGATTTTTGGCAAGTGAGGCATCAGCTTCCACTTCTCTTCTGGATTGAAGACTCTGCTGGACAAAGCAAGCTCACTCATCTTCTCCAGTATGGCAAAGAGCAGTGGTTTCATTGACACTCCTTTCAGATTTGGCACAGAACTGGCTCCATCATTTCAGCATGCAGGAGGAGAGCTCTTCCAAACCCCAGCTTCTGGCCCGGGATGTGGTGGGAAGACAGGAACTAGGCTAGTTTTGGAGGCAACTTACAACTCCTCTTAGTTACCTCGTGCATCATTTGTTAAGGCCTCTCAAGTTGGGATGAAGGCCCATCCCACTCACAACCCTCACAGCCACCCAGGTTCAGAAGGTTAAAAGCTGAGAAGCTTGTGGATTTGCATGATTTCTAAAGAATCCTAAACTTAGTCCTCCAGTTCTTACAAGAGAGCAGGATTTGGTTAGCACAAACCAGCTGAGGTAAAGAGCAGGATTAAAAACTTCAGGTTCTCCCCTAGCATGATTTCAAGTCAGCCAGGAACTGGAGTCTGAGGAGGCAGCAGGGGTAAAGGTTTTGCTTCACTCTAAACCCACCCCCAGCCTTTGTGCCCTTCTACCACCTCTTTTTTTCAGGTGGTTTAAGCACATTTTTCCCAGAATTGAACATCTGCTGAGAAAGCATCAGCTAGTAATATAAGGAAGCAAAACACCTCACTTCAGCAGTTTGAAATCACTGTATTTTCAAAAGGACTTTCAAGATGAATTTATTTTCCAGATATTCTGTTTCTTAAACAAAAGGGTTTGTATTTGTGTACGTTGAAGCTGGAGGTTTAAGCACCACTCAAGGTGAGTAATACTCTCCATACAGTGTTGATTTATCCAGAAAGCCTAATATATAGTTAACATTTCAGCAAGTAATAATAAATACCATACTTAGACAATAAAGCTTTATCATTGCTTTAAAGATATAAATATTTAACACACTGTTTTCAGAGGAAGCTGAACAGAAGTCACAGCAAGACAAGCTGGTGAGGTTTTCAGCCAAAGCTGACTGAAGTGTAAAAAACCAAAGATTAAATAATTTAAAATTATTTTAGGCTCTTGTATGTAGGAAAGGACTGAAGCCACCCAATAAGTTCAGCTGCCCAATTTCCATTTCATCAAGTCAGGCTTCTTAAAGTTCACTTAAACCTGGAACTGCTGCAGCTCCTTAGGCCTTGGGTTCTCCAGAGCCAGTGTAACACCCACCAACTGCACGAGCTGAGACCCGTGCAGTGGATTGTGTACACTGACATCATTCCCTCTGCTAGGACTGTGAGGTTTGTCTCTGAACTCCCTGTCAAAGGTGTCCCTGACTAGAATCAGATTTCTTCACCTGACTCCACGTCCCAGCCACAGGACTCCAGATGCTCATCCTGTGGAAACTCGACCTCAATGTCATAGATGAAATCTGGGTCGTCCTTCTTCTTCCTGTTCTTTTCAAAGAGTTCATCCATGATGCTCTTCCTTTTGGCTAGTTCCTTGTCATCTAGTTTGTTCATGTCCTCTTCTGGGTCAATGGTCTCTTCCTGCCCAAACTTTTCCAAGCTCTCAGCCAGGCTCTCTCCTCTCAAATGACCTTTCAGCAAGCTGTACAGCTTCTGCAGCTGACGCAGTGAGACTCCTTCTAGGTAAGCCTTGTGCCGAGGGTTCTGCTTCAGCTGCTCAGCAGCCCTGCTGCAGTCTGAAGAGAAAGCCACCATGATAGACCTAAGCAGATCTCTTCCCCCAAAAATGATCCTCTTCTCCCAAGCAATCCCTCCAGACTTAGCAAAGCCACTACTCAGGCTGTAGCCTTGGGCTCCCCAGGGCAGAGTGTTACCCAAAACAACCCCCTGTGTGCTGGTAAGAAGCCACCCATTGGTTCCTAAAACTGCTGTTATCAACTAAGCTGTTCCTCTTACTGAATCTGGAGGGGACTTTGAGGAATGCTACAAGCAACACAGCACACCTGAGAACTGTGAGAAGTTCCTGACAGGCATGACACGCTGGCGGGTGGTGCCCTTGCTGCTCTCTGTGTAGATGAGGACGATGGATGGAGGCTGGAAGCGGATCCCACACTTCAGGGCAGTGTAGCTCATGACCCTTCTCCCTGCTGGCTGAGTGGGCAGCTCTACCAGAGATGTCCTCAGAAGCTCACTGAAAAACAGGAGGAGAAAAGAGGGAAAGAAGGTGTGAGCAGCTCTTGGTGTTGCTTTTTTAATCAGGATTGGTGACAGGAGTTCAGCAAGAAGATGCAGCCAGGTTGGAGTCTCCCTGATGTCAGCAGGAGCTGAGTGTGTCCCTGCATGTCCAGGGGCTGGGCTGCAGAGTGACTCCCACAAACCTGGGGATATCACACTCCTTATTTCACATGGTGAAGGAGAAACCTGCATCCATAATATTGACATATATTGACACTGGAATTCCCTCTTTTTTAAAAAAAAAGATGTTAAGAGTCAGATTTTGTAAAGCTTTCTTAGAGTGATCTCAATACAGCAGCAGATCTGTCACTCAGGACAGATGGGACAAGGAAGAGAGAAGAGATTCAGAAACAAAGACCAAAAATAATGAAACTCCTTATTAGATTAAACTGAATTCATATGTTCATTGTCAAGGCAGGAGATGATCTTCATCTGTTTGCTCCTCAAACTAAAATACACCATCCGTGAAACTGAAGAGCTGAGAATTTGTGACAAATGGAAATGGTTTTTACACACCGTGTTACCACTGGGAGAGCTTAAAAGTGTACATGAAGGTCAAGAATGTCTTAAAACTTTAAAATGCTGAGCTACTGTGTGGATGTAGAGAGGAACTGAGAGGTTTTGTC